AGGAAAAAAGATTCAGAATTGAGCTCGAGATAATTGGGAGGAATTAAGGAAAAAAAAAGGAAAAAGATTCAGAGAGTGTCGGGCTCGCTGTTGCAATCCTTCTGTAGGGGACTGCTCGAGCTAGGATCCACCGTGTTCATCGGATTCCATGGCTGAAGACTGCAAGTTTATGAGTATGGATGCAGAGGAGAAAGAAACAGTCAAGGTTAGGGATTTGAAATGAGTTAAATTTGCAATTTTGTGGACATCCCTTGAATCGAAATGGTTTGCAATTTTTTGTGGGCTTTGTGGTTTGATTTATAGGGTTTATATATGGTGCCGTGAGATATGAAGCTCTGTTTTTTTTTTCTATTTTTATTTTTTTGGTGTTGCTAAAGATTGTGTCTTTTAATGGAAAGGAACTAAAGACATGTTATTTGGCTGTGCAATTAACTGCTTAAGACCTCTGTAATCATGCTTCTGTTGTGGCTTGGACCTAATCGTCCTCAAATCTCGCATCCTCCGTGAAAATTGTCGTCTCTTTTAGGTTTGTATTCATAAGAACACGAGACTATATCTTTAATTTTCTCTCTTTTTGTTTTGTTTATGTCCTGTGTGTGATAGATTTAGATTGATTCATGAACTAAAATGTATATTAGACTTTGATTGCTTGCTTGTGATTGTTGTTGGAGTTTATTTATATCTCATAAATGGACTTTGAAATTGGAGAACTGTGTGCTCCTTTCTGTGTTCCCTTAGTTTAAAGCAGTTAAACTTGTGAATTTGTGAATTAGCTTGTAAATGTTTTTATTTCAAGTTTAATTAGCTTGTGAATATGTGCCTTTGATGGAAATAGATCCGACGTTTGTGCTCCAGGTACTTATTGGAAATAGATTTCAAGGCCAAAGTTGCGCCTGTAAGGTGTTCGACGAAATTCCTAAATGAGTTTCAACTTCAAAATGGGACTAAAACGAGCAATTCGGGGCAAAGCAAAGGTTGCGAACGCGAAAACTTCAGCGACTGGCAAGCGGAAAGCGGGGGAATCCTCATCTCAAGCTGAACAAGAAACAAGAAACTGGTTTCTTGAGCAAGAAACAAGTTTTTTGAGTAAGAAACAGGTTTCTTGTTCAAAAAACAGGTTTCTTGAACAAGAAATAGGTTTCTTGAGTAAAAAACAGGTTTCTTGAGGAATAAACTGGTTTCTTGCTCAAAAAACTGGTTTCTTGAGCAAGAAACAGGTTTCTCAAGAAACTTGTTTTTTGTTCTTTGCTCCGATTCAATTCAAAGTTTAGCCTTTTTTTTTATACATTTATTCTGAGTTGAGCATTGTTTTGTTTTGTTACGTGTAGAAGTTGGCAATTCTGGATTTCAATTTAAACACCAACATTACACAAAAATTCTTATTAGTATTCATAAGTATTTTATTTGTTGAAATGCATTTACATTATAAAAAAAAAATTAAAAACAGTAACAAAATGAACAAAAAAATCAGTTCATATATTTGCACATTTCCAAAATGAATAGACAAGCAAAAACTATGGGGTTAGAGCAAGCAAAAACTAACAAGACAAAGTTCTATCCTCCACATCTAGCAAAAACAAAAGGATGAGATAGTGCATCGTCGGGTGCCCGCCAAGCCCCAGTGGCAAGGTTCCGATGAACATCGACCTTCCCCCGCTGATGCCATCAAAACCCTCGCGAAACCCGCCGTAGCCTGTGATCTTGAGCTTGCACCTTGTGTTGTTGAAAATTACCTAGTAGGCTATGGGGTTCACGAACTCGCTGCTCCTGATGGATCACTAGAGGTGTCGCTTGCTTTCGTGAATCACATCCTCGAGGTTGGAGATGGATTTCGAGCTGCCGTGTCACCGATCGACTTCGATCAACTTAACCTGATATTCGTACCACTCTAGTTTCACGGTTTACGCAAGTCATGTTTATCCAGGAACAGAATCGGACACTGGAAAACTTGTTTGGGTGATCTTTGTCGCATAACATTCTCAACTGATATATGTGCCCTTGATGTACAGATTGAAAGGAAAAAAGAAAACATTACTTTTTTTAATAAGTTGCTAAAGCAAAAGAATATAACCTGAGAATAGAAAACAATGGAAACTAATCAGCAGCCACCAAGACAACACTAATACAGAACTGATGTTTATATTCCATCAAAATGTTAAATGTTATAGTTTTACAAACATTAAGTTCATCAAAATACAAAAAAAATCACTTGGAATCACCATCCGAAAGCATAAAAAGGTTCCTGAAAGTGACCATCGTAACTTAGGATGCCAATTAAATCCAACCGTCTCAGCCACAGAAATAGAATTCATTAGGAAATAATATCTCCAAATAAAAATGATAGAAATGCACCAGAACAAGGGTAAGATATTTGTGATCTGCATTTTCACATCAAAATGAATCAGTATAAATAAGGTTAGAAGCTCACATTGTGGGGGCCTATGATGGTTCTAGTCTAAGAAAGCATATAAACATCATCTCCATCATCCATTCCATAGCTCACAATACCATCCCTGATTTCATTTTCACCACGTTCAAGTTCCTCGAGCAATCTAAAATATCTAGGTACTGCAAAATGCAAAGAGATTAATCACACATCTTCATAAGTAGAAACACACTAAATCTCTAATAACATGTGAAACGTAAAAAAGAGACTAGGTAATAAGAGTTCAATCTCGGAAATCGACACATGATGGAGGATTTATACGCGAAACTTCATAAGCTAAAATGATACTATAATTTCCATAAAACAACCTAATGGACAACTAATCTGTCAAAACACACACCGAAGGGGCTCACAATTGATTGATTGATGTATTGAAAAGAACAAAGTGCACCGGTCATCATACTGAGTACCAAAATCCAGAGCAAGGTTCCCAAACGTGAATCTTAAGTCACCAAATTGCTGCACAAAGTCATTTTTCAATGAGGCCTAACATCTACATCTGAGATGATATAACGAAATGCTAATATTCGATTTCTTGTAGCTTATATTTGCCTTCTCCTCTTTCGAGATACATAAATTCAGTGTTTGTTGCTTTGTTTAAAATAGTTTCGAATTCGATTAGAAAATAAAAGTGGATCAACTTTTTTTATATCGTGCTTAGTACTTGATTTTTTTCAGTACAAAAAGTTTCAATTAGCATTGGAGCTCGCTCGAGTGATTTTAAAAAGTGGATCAAGCTTGTTTTGCTCAACGAGTCAAACATGAACGGGCTCGGATAAAAGTAAACAAACGGTCTCGAACAGTTTTTCAATATAATTGAGCATGGAATTGAAACGCTCATACATATATACACTTACAAACCAAATGA